TGTAGTGTTGTGCTCGTAGGCAGGTTCCTGTTTTGTAAGTAGAATTCTATACACACTTCTCGCCTCAGAGGCGGCATTGTTTTATTTAATAACTGTGTGCTTGTTGCGATAGGCGACAGCTAGGTACCCACCCTAGCGCACCTAAAGCGCAGGCGAATTAATTGTTAGTTTTAGGAACACACCTCCCTGCCGCCCTATCTAGTAACTTACATGCCGGTGAGGCGCAAGACCCAAAGGGTCAAGTGCTCGAAATGGGTTCCCACCTAGAGGAATTCCTTCGCCAACGATGATGATGATGCCTGCCAAAAAGGCAGCCGCGGCTGCCCAACCAGTACCAGAATTCGTCGCCGAGCGAAAAATTTAGCCACCGCCTCCAATAATAATGCAAGAGAAGGTCAAAGTGGCATCAAGTATGCTCGTGGTTTGAACGCCACAACATCCGCGTCCCCCGGTCGAAGAATAGACATATAGGTATCCGCGTATACCTAGATCCAACGGACGGCTTCCGCCGCGTAACTAAGTACTTACGTGAAAATGACGTAGGTTTCTATACCTACTCATTCTCTGCGTCAGACGAAGCTTTAATAGTCTCGGGACTGAAAGCAAAAACATCAGTTAATACAAGATACAACATTTTTCAAAGTTTAATGCCAAAAAAATAATATAACATAATTCTATTCAAATTAGATAAGAAATATCTTTTAGTTTTTTTCTTGATAATAACTCTTTTACTGTATATCTTTCTGTTATTGCGCAATGTCGCAGTTTCGGTCTCGTTCGTAAGTTCCGACTTACTGCAGACCATACAGAATCTTATTTTTGTTTATAGCTCTATAATAATTATGATTTACTACTTGCTGAGGTAAACCAAACTGCAGGAAGGCCGTTTAAAATGTTTTTATTGCTAATCAACCGTACGTCCAAGTAGCTTTCCGATTTCTACTGACAGATTACTAGATGACTCCGTGGCGCAGTTGCCAGTTATTGGTTTCGGCGTCGGGGGTCGTCTGTTCGATTCTCACAGAGGACAACTATTTGTGCGACCCACAGATAGTTGTTTCGCATCTGGGTGTTTGTCCTTGTGCAATTTAAGTTAGTAAAACGTCCTTACAACACAGGATAATGTTATCCTAAAGTGAGTGCAATGTATTTAAAAAACAAAGATTACTTCTTAATAGTCTATATTTATAATTTTCACTACTAATATTTTAACTATTGATTATTCGCAATAATTGTCCGAACATTTATTACAGAGCTCGTCATTGCATATTGATTGATGCGTCGCAGTTCGACTTTTCAAAATCAATACGCTGGCCATGTATCGCTTAATTTGTAATTACAGCGATATCGAGCTACTGCCTAATTTCGGTAACTCTGTAGTGCGAGCCAGCAATTTTAATTAATCCTTGCACATTTTTACACTAATAATGGAAACGGGTGCGCCCCCTCCGTCTTAAACGAAGAGGATAATCTAGTTTTCGACAATCGTAGGAACAAAAACTATCATATTACACCACGGATGTCTCTTTATAAATATATCTGATAGAAGTACTTGGCGAATTACTCTTATTATCGCTCCGTCTAGTCGCCATTAGATCGGCCAGGAACAATGGCTCGTACGATCAAAATTGTAACTGATTGGCAAAAGTAGGCAAAGAGGAATGGACGAGCTCTGCGTTCGTACATAAAGTTTAGGATAGGAAAGAGCCACCTGACCCTTCTGAGACTAGCTTTTTTGCAATCTTCGATTCTACATCTCGCATTCTAACTATTTTGAAGTAGCGAGTCTTCGCCTCGAACCTCTGGTAGCTGTTATAGGGGAAAAATGCAGCCAACCAATATCGGACCGAAGCAAACTGCGGCAGGGTTTCCAAAAAGAGGTCAAAGCACCATATGTTGTGGTTATGGGAAAATAAATGGTTACCTCCATAAAGAGCCATAAGAAAAATTTTTCGCCCCGATGCTATCCCTAAAGAGCATGGTTTGTATGGTTAATACACTACCTGCTTACTTCTTCTGCATTCTAGCACGTAAGGAAGCGTACGTCATCGTCATCCTTAAAATGAAAATGTCCTTTTATCCCTGTTTTCAGGGAATGAAAAATATCATTCGCATATGACGGTAAATTTCGCCGCAAAAAAAAATGTTATAATAGCTACGGTCGGTAATCTGGCGGCCCCAAAACAGACGGCCGGGATTCGTGTCACAATCATTTACACACTCTTTTTTACTTTTTTTTCGATTCCAGATCATTGCTTTCTTTATTTTTTATTTTATGTTGACCCATATGATTTTGTTCTTTTTTCTCTTTTTTTTAAAGTTGTTTCTTTTGTGAAAAAGACCACTTCATATTTTCTTATTATTAGGTAGGTAAAATCGAAAAATATTATGCATATTTCATTACTGAGTAATTTGTATCTAAATGTAATTTACAAAATACACGATTTACACCCCAGTGACCCACAGCCAGTGAATGGTTTAACAAAGCTAAAGTATCCTAAATTCATAATAATACAATATAATCATAAACTATTTTCCACAATAATGTTTTGTTAAATCTACTTACTCCATAGGCGAGTTTTCTCATTGCAGCTATTATGATGCACCAAAGCCGTTTAATGAAAAATCTCTCATTATCGAGAATATTCATTATTCAGGTCGCCTATGACCCTGATTTACATGCTGACTCATAATTCGCTCTCGGACTACTTAAAACTTAACACTAAGTTATTCACCAATAAATTATACTTAATTTAAGCTAATACATATTTTTCATTTTTATATAAAAATAAAAAAGCCTTTTATTTCACACCTAATAATTAAATAAATACCTTTTAGGTAATTATTCAGTTTTTTTAGTGTAGTTATATAGTATGCAAATATTATAAATAATCAATATATATAGTGTGGAAATGAAAATAACATTCATTATATCATATGATTTTCTATTACTCCTGTTGATTTTCTTATGGTAGAGTTCCGAATTCTTGAATTTTCGAATTTTCATCATGCTACTTTCCATGATCCGTTGGCATGAGTTTATTATATTTTAACATCGCGTGTGAATTTCCTCGTCTAGTAAGCCTATGTGAGTCATGGTAGGAAACAGGTATTTATGACGTTTCTCTTAATTTTGGTTGGCTTATATTTCTTTCAGGCTCCAAAATTTTTTCCATGACCCTTTTATCCTCCTTTCGATTTCCTGGTCAATATTTTTATTCACGAAAGAGAGCTTTTTGTCTAAGTAGATGTATGATATGACGAATTCAATCGAATTATTATCAACTTTAATTTAATTTTTCAATGAATTTGTCATCAATTTTGTTTTGTTGAAGTTAATGTCAAGGCCTGATCGTCTGCTTGATTCTTGTAGTGTATCATGTGTTCAAGCAAGACAAGATCATCAGTGAATTCAAATTGATTTATATACTTTCCACTAACATTTACAACATTAAATCTATCTAAAATTACATATTATCTAATAAACTTAGTCCACTTTGTCCAATGCAGCTAGCGTTCTTGCCACCATGGCGTGCAAGAACGCTAGCTGCATTTCGTCGCCGAATTGTTATGCTTAACCTTTGAGCCTTTGAGACAAAAACCAAAACCTTTCAAACTTTTCGATGTACGGGGACCCCACAGACCCAAAGGTAAATACATAATCTTAACTGTAGTAACTTCGTCTTAACTAATATATAGTGACTCATATTTGCACCACTTACTTAAGTTGCCTCTGATGCCGCCCCGACACTGACCGAAGTACCCTCTAAATGAGAGGCAGTCAAAGTGTCTACACTTTACTTATTAAACTTACACTTTATTTATTAAATCTTTATTTTCAAACCTTAAGTAAAACGAGGTAACAAAGGGCGAACTTAATGCCAAAAGGCATTCTCTAACAGGCACCCTAGAATTTTGGTGAGAGTTTATGGTAGGTGCAGCAAAATATACAAAAGTAATAAACATTTATTGTATTGGGCATATATAATATATATAAATATTTAAAAATATATAAAGATGTATACATATACAGGATGGTTTTTTAAAAGTACATACTTCGACTTTCAAACAATGTTTGTTTATCCCGTTAAGAGTGGTCACCCTATTGATAAGCGGTTTAGTAATTATGCTCTAAGTATGTGCTTAAGTTTTAGTGCTCATGGATAGTTTATTGTATTACGACGGTAAGACAAGAATTTCATAAGGTGTTCATAATATTTGAAAAAATTAAAAATAATCTTTGAAAAAACAAAAAATAAGGTTACAAGTACGTACCAGATTCAGATTTAGAATCAAAGTCGTTATTTTCAGAATTCCAAAGACGCCACAATTTCAATATATTAGAGAAAATTTTCAAAAAGGCATTAATACGGTTCAGTATGTTAACAGCAAGCAATTAGGCAAACAAATCGCCGAAAAATACGGTGTTCCAAGGTCTAGTCTTCTATTATATTAAAAATTTGGGACCCAAAACCAGTTTAAGGGGTATCACCTGTAATAACTGTTTCAGAAGAAAATAGTTTGGACTGGATGATCATGTCACGGCAACAAAGAGGACATTTACAAAATATAGAAAATCTATCAACGTGCAATCTTATTTTTTCCGTGCCTGAAGGGTGTGGGCAATTACTACTTTTTAGGTTATGTACTATTTATATTTTAACTAAAAACTATTGATGCTCTATAGTAGAATTTATAACTTCATAAGAAAATTGTAATGAACAGTTGCTAGCTACAATATGTTTTTTTATATCTAACTGTTTGAAGTCGTTAAGTGGGCAATATGGTTTATCCTACATAATAAACATCATTTTATTAAAATATAGGTAGGTATTGGAAAGGGATATTATTGATTTTTCGTACGTGATACGGAACGGTTTTAGGTCACGTGATCTTCTGTCCATAGATAATCACTCCTTTTTACTTCCACGCCCGGTGGCGGCTCGTCTAGTCTGCAGAAAAAGTATTTTAGCGAGTAATTTCATGTTAAATACGCAAAAATGGATACAAGGAAATTGACGGAAATATTGCGAGCTACGATCGACCCTAATCAAAGGCAGCAAGCTGAAGAACAACTTTCGCAGGTAATTAGACTTGCGTCCACATGCTCGGGAAATATATTATACAGCTAAATTGAATTGTACGTCAATGTGGAGGAGAACTCTTTGTATTCCCGTGTGTTGCATTTATGGGTATTATAACATGTCGCGCTGGTATGAATGATTGCTTTTGAACATGTTTTATTTGAAAACGAATATGGCTTTAGAACAGTTAAAAATAAAACCAATAAACTTTTTTGAAGTAAAAGTCCCAATGAGTATTACGAAATCAACCTACCCTCTATATGTGACTATGGAATTATTCTAACCAAACTTCATGAATTTTCCATAATATGTAAATTTACGGTCGTATCATGAGAATCTCATAAATGGTATAACATATTTGTTAACTTCCTTTAGATTCAGTATTTTTTTAATTTTTATACATAATAACGCGCTTTTTCGCAAGGGTAAATGGTGTTTATGGAGAATGTAATTAATAAATTTTTGTTTCTTCTTTTTATTTCGTTTCCCAGAGCTGTGATAGCGTAGTGTCCCTAATGGCTCAGTGTCCGGGAGTGTCTTGTCTTTAATTCAATATACTTTAGCAACCCAAGTTTTTTATTATTTTTTTCAGATACACAAAATAATTGGATTTGCTCCATCATTGCTTCAAGTTGTTATGCTCAATGATGTTCAAATTCCGGTTCGTCAAGCAGGGGTAGTCTACTTAAAAAATTTGATAACAACAGGATGGCAGGAAAAGGAAGCTGAAGATGGAGAACCAATGGCTTTTAGTGTTCATGAGCAGGATAGAGCTATGATTCGAGATATGATAGTTGATGCTATAATACAGGCGCCTGACATAATAAGAGTCCAGCTTTGTGTTTGTCTACGGACTATTATTAAACATGATTTTCCATCACGTTGGACTCAAATTGTTGACAAAATACATATATATTTACAAAATCCAGAACCTGCTAGCTGGATGGGAGCTCTTTTATGTCTATATCAGCTAATAAAGACTTACGAATACCATATACAAGAAAAGAGGGGACCTCTAATGGAAGCAATGAATTTGTTATTGCCAATGATGTATAACTTAATTGTTAATCTTCAAGCAGATCCATCAATAGATTCTGTTTTAATTCAAAAGCAGATTCTTAAATGCTTCTTTGGCCTGATTAAGGTAATTTTCAACTATAATTTGAACTCATAATGAAATAACTTTATTTATGTTTCATGCTCTTCTTTTTAGTATATTCTACCCCTGGATTTGATAACTAAAGAGGTATTCACTAAATGGATGGAAGTTTTAAGAAACATCGTTGAACAACCAGTTCCAGAGCACACCCTGCAAGTTGATGAAGATGAGCGCTTAGAATTGCCATGGTGGAAATGTAAAAAGTGGGCAGTACATATATTGTACAGAATTTTCGAAAGGTATTGAAGGTTATATACTTATTTCTTTCACAATATTTAATGCTTATTTACTTACTGTTATGGGCTGTGTTTTAGATATGGCAGTCCATTGAGTGCTCGTGAAGAATACATACACTTTGCAGAATGGTACCTAACTACTTTCACAGGAGGAATTCTAGAAGTTCTGCTAAAAATATTAGACCAATACCGCAACAAAGTATACATCTCTCCTCGTGTGTTGCAGCAGAGTATAAGTTACATAGATCAATGGTGAGTTAACACTAGATTAAATGTAAATATTCCAGAAAACAACCATATCTATATCAATATATTTCATTTTAGTGTCAGCCATGCACATTCTTGGAAATTGCTAAAGCCCCACATGATTACAATTATTCAAGATGTCTTGTTCCCTTTGATGTCTTATTCGGAAGCTGATGAGGAACTATGGAACACAGATCCTCATGAATATATTCGAATTAAATTTGGTGAGCAAAAATAGCATTTCAAAATAAATACTAAATAGTTGAAATTGATGTAATTGTTATTGATCTTAATCTTGAAAAATCTTTATTTTTAGATATATTTGAAGATTTTGTGTCACCTGTGACTGCTGCACAAACTTTACTAATATCCTGTTGTAAAAAACGCAAGGACATGTTAGAGCGAACAATTCAACTAGCAATGCAAGTGTTAACTAGCCAAAATGGTGAATATGGGCCAAGGCAACGTGATGGAGCTTTACACATGCTTGGTACACTTAATGACATCTTGATAAAGAAGAAATACTACAAAGATGTTATAGATTCTCTTCTGAGTCAGTATATTTTCCCGGAATTTCATAGTCCTTTGGGATATATGAGGGCAAGAGCATGTTGGGTACTTCATTGTTTTGCCAGTGTTCGGTTTAAGAGTGAGCCACTTTTAATTGAAGCAGTTCGCTTAACTGTAAACGCCCTTCTTACTGATACTGAGCTTCCGGTTAAAGTTGAAGCAGCTATTGCATTGCAAATACTCCTTGCAATGCAGGAGAAGGTGCATGGTTACATAGAACCTCAAGTGAAGGCCATTACTACTGAATTACTTGAGGTTATACGTGAAACAGAAAATGATAACATTGCAAATGTTCTTCAAAAAATTGTGCCCTTATACACTGAACAATTAATGCCCATGGCTTTTGAGATCACTGATCATCTTGCTACAACATTTAGTAAAGTTATTGAAACGGATGCTGGAACTGATGAAAAAGCCATAACTGCCATGGGTCTTTTAAACACAATGGAAACAGTTCTCAATGTCATGGAGAATAATCCTGAAATCATGGCTCAATTGGAAAAGACAGTTCTTAGGGTTGTTGGTCATATTCTTCATAGGAATATAATAGGTAAGGAGATTTGTCCATTAATATTTGTACAGACAAACATTTTTAATGATCATTAATATTGTATGTTTACATAATTTTTACTTTATTAGAATATTATGAAGAAGCAATGACATTACTGTGCAATTTAACTGCAAAAACAATATCTGAGGACATGTGGAAAGTCTTGGAGCTACTCTATCAAATATTTGAAAAAGAAGGCTTTGATTATTTTGGTGATATGATGCCAGTTCTTCATAACTACATAACTGTGGATACAAATGCATTTCTTTCGAACGAAAATCACATACTAGCCATGTTCAACATGGCTAAAGCTGTAAGTTTGCTTTTTTTGTTTTACTACTTGAGCTATCTCATGTAACTTTTATTTTTGCAAAAAAGCTTGTGACTTTATACAAGAAATTTTAAATTTTGCAATGCGAAATATAAATATTTTTTTAATTTAAAATGCAAACTTGGCCATGCATTATCATAATTTTCTGTATATATTTCTCAAATATTATAATATAAAAGCTGTGCTTATCATTATGTGGGTTTAACTTTATTTGTTACTATCAATAAATGGGATTAAAAAGACAAGTATTACAGTGGAAACTTTTAGTATTTCAAGGCGAAATGTAATATGATAATACATGTTTTGATGTATCCTGTTTCAAATTGCAATGCATATGTTTTATACATGAGATCCATTCCTAAAGTCTGGGTTTACAAGTGAGAATGTTATAAATTATTGATGTCTTAAGAATTTAAGACTCAAAATTTAACACTAACTTGTGTGTCATTCACAAATATTGTATAGTTCTAAAATATGACAGTTGGTCAGCCCCTATCGCCCTAGATACTAATATAAAATTCAAAGGAAGAGTCACTGCTGTGTGCTTTTTTATTTTTTTATATATAAGAAGATGATTTAAGAGCTGGTGGCTTACCTGATATACAGAGATAACCGGCACCCTGGGACTTTTACACTACCCTTTTGTTATGTGAGAAGGAGGCTAGTGATTTGGTGGTTCACTTTTGTTAAGTGATAACTACCACCCATTGACATTTGCAAAACCCGCTGGGTTGCAAATATGATAATGTAGTGGGCCCTGACTACCACACTCAGCAAATACAATGCAGAAGTATGACACTGCCACTTCAAAGTCTTCTGCTGTGGGTTTGTGGTACTTACCGGGATGAATATGCCAATGCAATAGCGAAGACTGCCGCAGGACCCTACCACAATAAAACCTTTGCAATTGCAACATGATTTATCAACTGTTCATAACATATATTCATAACATTTTCTCATACAAATAATTTTAATATTCATTAAAACTCAAATGTTATAACTTAATATTTCATAGTTTTTGGAGATCCTCTTTAATATTGTATTTATTTCATGGTTTTTGTTATTTAGAGTAACCAACCCAACCTAATTCATGTTAATTCTAAAATATCTCTAGGAAAATAATAATAGGATTTAAATTCAATTAACTCGATATCTTAAAAAAATATTTACGATAGCCGACTCGGCAAACATATTTCTAGAGGAATCTGAACACACACATAAAGTGTTTGGCAGGTTACACAGAGATAGTTGACAGGTACAGTTTGTATGGGAAAATAAAATTGTTGCTATTTCGATTTTCAATGCAATTATTCCATAATTTATCATTGTTTAAACCTTCCCTGGACTGCCACGAATAATTCAAAACCAAAATTAGCCAAATCAGTCCAGCCATTCTCGAGTTTTAGCAAGACTAACGAACAGCAACCCATTTTTATAAATAAGATTTTCCTATTTTAAATGCTTATGTTGTAATTAAAATTGTATAAAGACTTTCTTATTCCATTTTCTCTAGCAGAAGTATGATTTTCTTTGTATATGATAAAAGTTTCTTGTTATTCTAGCTTTTATTTCCTAAAGCTTGTACAATTTGTAACCTCTATAAAGGTTTTTTTATTATTGCTAAATTTATAGAGTATTGGCGAAGTATAAATGAAGTTAATTTTATTATAATACACAATTATTTACATCTACAATACACCCATAATTTTGCATATGTCAATTGTAAGGTTAACATAATATTTATTTGAAAAATGCTCATTGTCTTACAGGTTTTGAATTCTGATGCTGAAGATGAATCTGAGATATATGCTGCTAAATTACTGGAGGTTATGGTACTTCAATGTTCAGGCAAAATTGATAATTGTCTCCCGTCATTTGTTGAACTAGTTCTTAACAGACTGACAAGAAAAGTAAAAACCTCTGAACTTCGCACAATGTTGCTGCAGGTAAAATTAGTTGTAATAAGATACATAGTTTTAATAATAATGTATTTAATTTGTTATGGATAATTGGTAAACATACTATATAAATCATTTAGAAGTTATCTAAAACGATGTTTGTGATTATAAAACTCTTTTTTAATTTAGGTATTGATAGCCATTCTATACTGCAACCCACATCTGTTGTTCACTATCCTCAACAAACTGCAAGAATCTGTGCCAAATGCTTCAATAACTCAGCATTTTATCAAACAGTGGATACATGATACAGATTGTTTCATGGGGTAAGTTGACTTTATTTCCTATGTCAAATCAATTTATGTACATTCAATTTCATTGCTGTTATGGTAGTGCAAAATAAAGGCTTAGATTGGAAGAAAGAAGACATTTTTTAACCAATTAGTAATGTAAGTAAAGATAGTAAAACTGTTATATTTATGAAAATTGTTATATGTATCTTTCACATTAGAGGCATAAGTATTATTATGGTAGTTGTCATATCTTTTTCTTTTTTTTTTAGACTTCATGATAGAAAATTGTGCGTCCTTGGGATTTGCACTTTGCTTGAAATGGGTCCACAGAGACCAAATCTTGATGAAGTTGTGCCAAAAATATTACCATCTTGCTTGGTGCTATTTGATGGCCTAAAGCGCGCTTATGAAGCAAAAGCTGAAGGAGATGAGGATACATCATCAGAAGAAGATGATGGTGAAGATGATGAAGGTTTGCATATATGTATACTCCTTATTACTTATGTGTAAAAGAATATTGACATTAAAAATTATGAAACTAATAAAGCACAAAATTTATTCTAACTTTCCACAGAGGTTCTCTCCAGTGATGAGGATGATATTGAGGAAATGAATAATGAATATTTAGAAAACCTAGCTCGGATGGCAGTCAAACAAGGTGCCCAGCAAGGCCTAAGTATAACTGCAAAAGTTGAAGAATATGACAGTGATGATGTAAGTAAAATAAGGCATTGAAACTCATAAAAAAGTTTTATTAAGTGTTAGTTATGTAAAATCTTATTATCTGAGAAAATTGTACTTCATTATGTATGTATGAAGTCCCTTCTATGTTATACTTACATAGGTCACACTAAAAGTTTCCAGAACAAAAACTTACATAAACAATATTTAAAAAGGAATAAGCACATTTGAAAATAGAACTCTTTGGCTAGAATGCAGTTTGTTTCATCCATTTACATTTACATTTTGGCGCCATTTTCAAAATTGCGTTTCTACACTATTACGATTTTAAGTGTAATTTGACAGTTCAGCAGAGCTTTGTTTCGCCTAAATCAGGCGATGAAGCACCATGCCAGACAACTATTTATAGCGAGTTTGCGGAATTCAAGCGCGGTCTTGTCAATCGCAGTGACGAATCTCGCGATGATCGGCCATCCACTGCTGTGAAAAACAAAAACAATCCTGTGCGCCGTATGATCGAAACAGACAGGCATATGACCTATCATGAGATTCAGGCATCCTTAGACATAGGCATGAGTCAAATACAATCAATCCTACACAAACATTTTGGTGTGAAAAAGCTATGCTCGCGGTGGATCCCCACACAATTTGATTGAGGCTCAAAAAACGGACCGCGTCCGTTTCCGTTCATTGGTCAGTTTTTCTCCGTTCTTACCAGATGCAATGAAGGCGCGTCAAATTTGGTGTAGGACATGGATATAAATCCATGTTCAATCATGCTTCAATCCCAAAACAACTTTGTTTAAATAAATCCTACCAATAAATTGGGTCCCAAAACTCCCAAAAGTAACACTGATACACAACCATTTGTTAGCCGAAAGTTATTGACGAACTGCGTAAAAAACCGTAAACGCCGTATCATCTTGCAACACGACAATACTAGTTCCCACATGGCCAGACAGATAAACGGATTTTTGAATGTGAAAAATGTTGAAATTATGAGCCCTCCTGACTAAAATTAAGAACCAATTACGCAATCAAGAATTTTCATCACCAGATGAGACTATCAAAGAGTATGTAAAACACATGAGGTCACCAAGGAGGAGTGGCACAAATGTTTGCAAAATTGGTTTAATTGTATCTATGCAAAGAGAGAATATTTTGAGAAACAATAAATAAATTTTTGACCTTTAATAATATTTTTTTCTTATTCATTCTGGAAACTTTTATTGCCCTATGTATCACAAGTAAAACATTTCAATTTAGCATAGTAATATGAAAATCATAAATTAAGTTTTGTAACTTACTTGTTATTGTTTTAGGATGTTGATGAGTTTGAACCAGATGAAACTGCTATAGAGTGCTACACAACTCCTCTCGATGAGAAAGACTGTCCCATTGATGAATATGTGAAGTTTAAGAACACACTTTCAGGTATATTTTTTTTTATAAAATGTAATTTTATATACATTATTAACACCAAGTATTATGCATGCATTATAGTATTTCATTGAGACAATAATCAGATCTTGGCCATTTTAATATAATAGCAGTTGGTGTATACCATGTATAAATGCAGCTATTATCATAGGCTATCTTCACTGTCAGTTGTATGTGCTTGGTACATAGCCAAAAAGAAGAGACCTTCATATTTTTTAACATTTGTAACCTCTGAATTATGGTTTAATGTTAATTTATTTGATTATTATAGATATATTTATAATGCATTACAGCATTCATGGTGACCGAAAAGACAGATGTTTGACATTTGGTGTTACTTTCATGAATTTTAGTACAAATTTAATCGAATGAGGTTTCCAGTATGTCTTCTGTATTAGAAAAAGATTTAAAATATATTATGTAAAATGTTGTAAATGAATTATTAATAGTTTTTGAAACTCAATATGAATATTATTAAGAAAATTAAAATGTATTGCTTTTAGCTCTGTCAGCAAGTGAGCCGGGACTATATCATGCTTTGACTAGCGTCTTAAACGAGGAACAACAAAAACAGTTGAATGCTGTATTCATCTTGGCTGATCAACGGAAGGCCCAGCAAGATAGTAAGCGTATTGAACAAAGTGGAGGTTAGTTTACATTAACTTTCAAAATAATCAATAAACAAATAATAAATTAATATTGATAAAATGATAACAATAATCATAGTTATAAACATGTCGTCGCAGTCGTAGAACAATGACGGATGTACAAAACAGCTACTTTACAGGAGACCTCATTAAAGGTTCTGATATATGTTTTTGTTTATATTTTCCGAATGGCTAACTGAATCAACTTGAAATTCGGATATGTTAGTAAATGTGTAAAGTTGTTAATTATGACATACAAAATATATCCTTAATATGGCTAGTTTTTGAGAAAAGTCAGATACGTCACTTTACTATGTGCATGTATGTGACGAATTATCACAAACGTCGTTATTGTAGGGACAATAACTTGACGTATGTTCATTTACGTCATTTTTTTGGGGAAAAATGACAAAAATCTAGCGACGGATTTGACTTATTGATTAAAATAAAAAGATTAATATACAATTGTCAAACAGTTTTATTCATAAAAACAAATCAAATAAAGTATACTGAATACCAAAACCAAAAAATCCTCTAAATTTTAAATATGAGCCTCAAATAAACAATTAAAAAATCAACTGGATTAGCAAATAAACAGTTACCTACATTTTGGCCTGTTTCAATCCTCATACGGCGCTAATTAAACAGTTAAGTGTGCAAGCGCCACAAAATTTTATCTGTCTGTTAGCTGTGTTAGGAATTAAAAACAGTCCTAAAAAATAAAAATCATCATCTCAAATAAGTTGCTGGCAAATTGTTCAATAATAAAAATATTAAATTATTGCAACGTTAACTTAGCATTTTTAGATTTTGCCCAGTTCATAAACAGCTTCCACTCTTCAGGTGTGTAAATTACTTTGTGTTCCCCAGCTCTTTCAATCACAGAGTGGACAGAGTCACCTTCATTTTGAGTGTACCTATTTTCGAGAAAATGATGAATTATAGTGACTCCCAAACTCCTTAGCTGCATGACTCTCGATTTTTATTTTGGCCAACGCAGTTGGCAGACCAAAATCTAAACTCCTTAATTTCTTTCAAGGAAAATTCTTTGATAAAATTGAATAAGCATCTAGCTACCTCATTGGATCCCCGCTTTGCGATACTCTCATCCCACACGTAGCAATAGTCACCTTTAGACACTAAATTAAAAATAGTGAAATTGTAGCAAGAGTTTGCGATTGTAATACAGAACGCTCATTTGAGCGTGCGAACAGTTTAAAGCCTTTTGAAAATCAAATGTGCACACAAGATGGTACCATTCGATTCGATTGCCTTGGTTTTATCATTTTGTTTTAGGTTCCGTGCAATATTTTTGTTGTTTTGGTGCTCCTGATAAGCTAGTTTCATTTAATCAGATGGAGCATCAATGTGTTTAAAGATATGACACTGGTCACAAGTATCCTTTTTGGGGTTATGAAAAGATAGATTAAAATAGGTGTTAACAATGTCTCGGTATTGTCACAGTGATATAGCTTTAGTTGTGTAATTATCCAAATCGGGCCAAGTTTTGTACAATTCAAACATTCGAGCGATACTTAAGCTACGATCTAAGTATAGCCTTTTTGCATTTTTCCTACAGTAATAAGACTCAACTGGCACAAAAGCATTAACGTGAGCTCATACAGATAAAACATGGTTTTGCAAACACCAATTTTTTCGTGTGTTTTAGTTTGAGTATTGGTTTTTGGTAGAAAGTATTTGTACGTGTATAATCTATTGTGTTTTAACTCCCTCTTTAGGGTTCTTTTTTTGTCCTCTTTTTAGTGTAGTTTGCAATATTAAGCTTCTGTTGCTCTCTATCACCTAAAGACCAAAACTTTTCAAAAATCTTTCTCCGATCATCTATGGTTATTTTTGAGGTACAATTAAACCTGCATCGACTTGGTGGCCCCATTTCCTTTGCTTCAATCGTAGTACCACTTTTTGAACAATATTTCTTACCTAAATTTTTCAGTCTCTTTCTCTTCACATCTCCCCATTCTTCATGATTCCGAGGCCGTTTTCGTTCCCTATTTCTGACCAAAGTTGCCGCAAGAAATGGTTGAGTAGAATCCGGACAAACGCTACTTACTGACGGACAGACCAATTCATCAGGTTCATGTTGACAGCAGAAAGGATCATCACATTTCCCATGTCTGTTCACCGGGGATGGGACTGGAGTGCTCGATACGGCTAAATTGTCTATGGCATTTTCTGTTAGTGGTGACGGCTGATAGTTCAAGTCATTGAAAATTGGAGTCAATGGTGAAGAGGGGTTGACATTGAGTTGTAAATAAGAAGTTACTGATTTCGGACAGTCTGTTGAGGGTATTGGAGTGGCAGGATCCATGGGTATAAACGCATCATTTCTAATTATGTTACTAGGACATACCTCTTTTGAAGCTTGATCATCATCTTTACTAGGCAATGCATTACTTGGAATTTTAGGGACCTCACAAATCGGGCTCGACAAATGACCGATAGGCATATCTTCATGGCAAACTGGAGCAACACATGAGTCACCCTTATCAAGAGTATCGCCGCCGAACGCATCATTCCAGACGTCACGCATTATGTGATCACTTAATAGTGCTTCTGCCTCAGGTGGTAGCGGCGATGAGCAACGGCTCACTGAAATATCGAAATAAAATATGTAAACAAAAAACTAACACAACGTACTAACCTACCTTACTACATCCCTAGATACTTACCTAACCAGCCTAAAAAAAACATTTTTTATATTGGCCAAGTAGCTATTATATTATTATTATTATATTAAGCCAAAAATACGGAATAAATAAAAATATAACACTTTACTTTTAAATAAAATGACGCATATGAAAATGCGTCCGGAAAAAAACGTCGGTTATGCATATCCAACCACATAGTGTCCGCATAAAAAAGACGGATCGTAACATGCGTCGGCGGTAGGTACACAATAAAAGGTCGCATTTATATATACGTCACAAAAAAAAACATTGTAAAAATAATGAAATCTTAAATATTATGATTATTTTATAATTTCATTCTAACGTTAAAATCCTTTAAGCACCATAATAAAGTCACCTATTTGAACGCCCCTAGTACAAAGACGGATTTGATCAAACGACATTGTTTTATGGATAAGAAAATGATTACTACAAAACACTCGTAAAATTTAAGATTTTTCCACTAAGAAATTAATTATATGTTAAATAAGTAAACAACAAATACTTACGTGTTGCGGAAGCAATGGTATTTTTTTGTTTCTTGTTACTTGGTTGATTTGTTTGCTTTTCGTTGGTTTTGGTATTAAGAAGCGCCAAAATCCTTTTTGATCTCTTGTTACTGATTGTGTTACACAGATACCTAAAAGTAGTCTTTAATACGTCATTAACTCGTTAGCGAGATCAGTTAAACACTCAATAATCAATTAGAAAAGTAATTATAGCAAAAAAATATTCCGAAAACGTTAATTTGCACTGAGTTGTTATATTACCTAGAACATAGACGACTAGTACAATCCGGCGCATGGATGTGGGGTGCGGGGTGCGGGGGGCGGGGGTAAGCAACGTACAATGGCGGCAACAAACACACGTCCTTTTAATACGTTCGAAAAATGAAAACCGTCGTTTTTTAATTGTAAAAAGTGCACATTTACTAAAAAAAAATAAAAAGAAAATGATTAGGTATATAAAAAAGGACGTTTTAATGATTTATAAACGATAAAAAAAAATTGAAATTTCAAAACCGTCTTTGTTTTACGACTGCAACGATGTGTAACAAATAAAAATTAAACAAACATTTATTACATTTGAATTTTCATGCGAAATAGCTATTATATTAAGAAAATATTACAGTATTTGACAGTGATTTTAAATATTCCTGTGTGTTGTGAGATTTAATACTATAGTTATAACTAAATAAAATATATAAAATAAATACTAAAGAAAATAAATAAAAATTGTCAAAGGACAATGGCGAACTCCCATACTAATTTTTGTTCAACAAATTTTTTTGCGTCTTAAGACGAAAAATATGTAAAAATATAGAATTTAATGTTCTGAATAAATCATACATACATATTGTTATTAAAGGAAGTGTGGAATTCTGTCTAAAGTTTTTAAGGTTATGTCGAATACTAGTGTTTATGTGTTTAAATAATAATAAAAACAATCTATAATGAAATAGACTGCTCTCTATGTTAAAAAGGTTATAATAAACTAAACAATGCCATAGAAGTTTCTAGCACCTACATATTACATCTCTAATATTCTATTCAAATCGATCCGACAGAGTATTAATTTTAAACAGCTGTTATATTTTATTGTGATGGAAGTTAAAAAGTTTACCAAATTAGGTAACAGATTTTCCTTAACAATACTATCAATATATTTCTACTTTTACAGCTTTTAAAAAAAATTAAAATGAAAATATGAAAAATAGCCAGAAAAATGAAGCAGTTTTTTATATTTACGAAGGTATCGTTAAGGCTGATATCTTCGAAGAAAAACATTTATAATATTAGATATTCCATAAATAAAAAACATTGTCTTTTGAATTATTCCTTATTATCTCTCTTATGACGATACCACCAAGAAAACCTGCTGGTCCTAATATACTTTGCTAATTCTGGCCCGTCAAAAATACCAAACTGTAGTAATTGTATGAACACAACTTTTAAATTGCTACTTTCCTAATTAATTATTGAATTCATTTATGAATTAGGTAGGTACTAATAAAACACAAGATGGTTTTGAGTATTGCTCAATGATTCTCTCCATTTTAGATAAAAAAGCGACACAATTCCGCATTTAACACAAGTCATACTTTCTTGCCCTTCCATTATCAAGGCATCCTTATCATACAACTTAGATTTAGTTTAAAACAATATAAGCATCAATATCGCAAGGGATTCTCTCACACAACACAATTTCAACTAAAATCACAAAATCGTCGTCTTTGTAATCGTACTCAGTAATAATACTAGATCCAGTAAATTCACTAAAATTAACTCCGCACAATTTAAACAACAAAAAAAGGGGAAAAAACAAAATAAAACAACAAGCAAAACAACAATCTGCCATCTTTAGTTTTTAGTGAGGGTGTTGCCTTATCAAAATCATAAATTCTATAATTGGCAAAAAATTGTTAAAAATTGAGTTCACACACAGGCTTCGTTCATAATGAAGAATTTAGAAAATTAAGAATGCTTATTATTTCTTAATTTAGTTTAAAATATTCACAAATTATTTGTTATTAGCTACAAACGTTTATAGTTCACAATGGGTAAAATCTAGCTTCTAAAATTGTATTTAGAGGAATTAAACATCTTTATATTTCAATTTTATATTTGCAACCAACGTCGTCAGCCAGACTGACAGGTGTTTATTTTTTCCATTCAACGGTTTTACTATGTTTGTGTTAGGTTTAAGAAATAAATGGAAATCCATCTTATTTTAATTAATAAATGGTAACTTGATTCTTAGCATAGAAATGTGACTTTATAATATGAAAATATATTTTCAAAATATTTAAACGCTACATATAATATAATTATATTATTTAACTCGGGACTTGATTTATAATATGGTAACATTAATAGCACGGCAAACAAGTCTGACGAATTCACTGCTGATATTTTTAGTCAGTTGAATTTTCAAAAATAAATGGTATTTAGTATAATTTGAAAAATCTTAAGAAATTATATTTTTAAGTGTAATTGTGCTATTTGTAGACGCTTGAGATTTCTCTCAACAATTTTTTCGCCATTGTCATTTGTACTTTAAACACTTTTATGAAAAAATTTAAATTAAAAAAAACTATCATTTATAATTAAGTGCATACATTACTTCAAAAATTAAAAAAAAATATATCTCACTGCTGATGTTCCAAACAGAAATGTTTGAGTTTTAAAGAGGATGGGTAACTATTTAAAAATTAAACATTTCTGATCAGTTGGTGAGTAAGAAGTAAGCATATAAATGTGTAATATTCATACCCTTGTAGAATTTATCTGTGCTTTCAATTTGTTGTTTGGTAATAATTGATGTTGTAATCTTTACAGGATATTCATTCACAGTTCCAGCACAAGTTCCAACCAAATTTAAATTTGGTTCTTAAATTAGTCTTGAATTATTCAAAGTATAATAGTATTTATGTATTACCATCATTGGCTATAGTTACACATTGTCACACTTAATTTGATTTTCTTATGGAAAGAAAGCTTGCAATAATCATAAAAAATAATATTCTGTGTCATACAAAATGTTTTGGATGTAAAAGTGAAGGTTAGGTTTCCGTCTTTGCTTCTCTGAGTTAGCTAATGTTATATAAGAACATCACATTCTTGCACTTATTAAAGTGTTAGTGGTTAAATTGTTACATGTTTAGAAACTGAAATGTCTGACATATTGCTATTCATAAAATTTATGTTATCTAGCAATATTAAATTATATTTAGTGTCTCTTCAAAATATTATATGTTTTTTATCTTCTTACTCTAGTTCAAAATTTATGAACTAAACAAATGGTTTAACACAGAAAGATGTTGGGAAAAATCAACAAATCTTTTATGTATTTTTCAAATGATTAATATATTTTATTACATTGTTTATAATGTATTAATGTAGTAATGTATTAATTTATCTTATTAAAATAATAAATGTGGATTTCTCCACTTTTACCTATTGCTATATATTCATTTGTGAATGCAGAAGAATTATTTAATAGTTGAATGAAACAAAAAGTCTTTATTATTATTTAATATGAAAAGTAAGTTCATACAGTTTTGTAATTAAGTTATCTACATTGTTTTATTCAACTACAAAACAGTTCCAAATTTAATTTATATTAATAATCTTTGAAAGCCAAGAACCACAGCCTCAGAAGTTTTATACTTTTGCATCTCCTCTGGTGAGTGAGGCAATGGGCTTTCTATATTAATGGTTGTCCACTCAATCTGCAAGTTCTCATGTGTAAATCGCTTACTATCAGATGAACTGTCTGTGCACTGGACAACTTTTTCACACAAAAAGTTATTTGATGACTATAGTTTATCACATTTTTTGTGTAAACCATTTGTGTTAATTATTATACCTAAACATATTTTGGAATTGTAATGTATCTCTCTAACATTTGAAAATCCATGTGAATAGCAATTAGAGAACATAGGTGTTTAAAAATATTGTTAGATATCTTTTCCACTTAATGGAAATTAGTGTATTGTATTCTATTAAATGTATGCAAATTTACCAATAGGATACTTACTTAAATGTAACAATGTTAATATCTATTCCAAACTGCATGCTGCTTACATGATATTAATATCATTAATGTTTTCATTGTATATGTATTATCTTAAAGTTTTTGGTTTATTTGTTAAAATTATGCATATAAAATATGCAATATTTCTCTGCAATGAATAAGTATAAATGCACTTCAATGTGTGTCTAGCAAAGAAATATTAAATTTAATATGCACTTGCGACATTCTTTATAACACATAATTAATTGGCACACATTTAAACTCACAGCTGATATAGATCTCAATAATAAAACAAAATGGTGTCTCTTTGACCTACCACATGTGTCAGGCTGAATGTAGCGTTTATTTTATTTATAATAACAATGAGTAAAATATCAAAATTACAAATGAGTTTAGTGTGAAACTTCCTTTCTACAGTACTTTGTTTATAAAAGATAAGGATGGTATTACTTAAAAAATTGCATGTTTGTTTGTTTAAGTGTATCTTAATACTTATGCTTGCTTCTCTCAATAGAAAATATTGTACATATGTGTACGAAAGTATGCATTATGTTTTACATAATTTGTATGTGAAATGTATTTATTTTATGTATAGGAGTATATACATACATAAATTTTTATGGAAGCAATTTGATTTTCTCATTTTTGGGACAATAGGCATTGTGGAAACAGTTAAATGGCTGATAAATTTTGCTTAATTAAAAATTATAACAATAATACTTTAAATGGATAGAAATTGAAAGGTGCTTTTACGGGTATGAAAATGGACTGAGAACTAAATGTAATAAGTATAGGGAAGTCTTAATCGGAATTTGAAATTTTGCATTTATCTGAAATAAATAAAACATTATCAGTGCATTAACTTTGCTGAAGATGGATTACAAATAATGTTTAATTAACATTCACTATTCTATATTCTCCAGATATGTAATGCAACTTTAACATATCCACAAGTTTAAGCATTATAATTTTAATAATCCCATTATTCTAAAATTTTTGTTATCCAAATTATACAACTGCATTTTGCATTAAAATCTGATTGACTACACCTTCGTTTTTTAAATCACTTAATGCTACTAGCATGTAAAATGTTTGAAAGCTTCCTTTGACGTTTTGTTATGTATAGCAGCTTAGATGTATACAAATAAAGAAATAAAAGTGTATTTCCTAAATATTTGATTTTTATAACCCATTGATATAATTATCTAACTCGGCAATTAGTCTGAAGTATCTTAAGATGTTACCAGTAAAGTATAATCAGAAATTCGTAACGCTTTTTCCCAAATGGTATAAAAGAAGTGCGCAAGGCGTTCACCAATTGTTATGTGATTACCTCCGCCCATGAGCATCTACAACACCTATGGGATTACGAATGGGTTGGGTTTCAGTCATTACACTTAATATAACTTCTATAAACCAATTTGTACCATATACAGCTTGTCCTTACAATCGTGACAATAAATGAACACACCTCTAACGCTACTTTCTAATAATCATAAAAAATATTAACGTTAAAATAATACATTCAGACACAAATGGATTCCGACACTCGTCAACGTATTCCTGAGAAATATTGTATCTTGTATTAACTGATGTTTTTGCTTTCAGTCCCGAGACTTAAAGCTTCATCTGACGCAGAACCGGTGGGCTAGCCAGAACCCACGGGTTTGGGCCCTCCGCTGTGGGTAGGGCCGCGCATGTGCTCATGCGTGCGTTTAACTACGACATGTCATCTAAGGGCCATCGAAGTTGCGGTGCGGACCGAGACCCCGATGGCCGTCGACTGTGTTTTTAGCTAATCGGTGGCTGGGGGCGGTGAGAACCGCCCTGGAACGCGGGTGTACCTTGTGTACGCGTTGTGTTGGTCTCGCCGTGCTCGGAGGCGAGGGCGAACTAGTGTGTTTGTTGTTGCACTAACTGTGGGTGTAGTGTTCCCGGCGGTGGGTCCGGTGAGAAATATTTGCCTAAAGCGTCAACCGCGGAGCAAGGAATGTTCCGAATATGCAATAAATCATTGATATGCAGAAAGAACAATTAAAGGACAGGATGCAGCCTTGTAGTATACCAGCCTTCACGAATTTAGCGTCAGAGGTAGCACCAGCAACAGCGATATAAATAAATATAATCACTGTGGTAGGACCACGCAACAGTCCTCGCTGTTGCACGAATGAACGGGACGGTCCGGGGAAGTACCACGACCTCACAGAAGACCTGCGTGAAATGGAAGTATTATATTTCTGTGTTTTGTCTGGTGCGTGCGGTAGCCGAGGCCCACTTTATTAAAAGTTAGCAACAGATCTGCAACCCTATGGCTGTTGCAAATGACAATGGGCGGCGGTTATCACTTAACATCGGGTGAGCCGCCAGCACAAAAAAGTATAAATATAATTGGTAAAAAATATATTTTCATAATGCTAAAGATGTTCTAGCGTCATGTCTTTCCTACTTTTAAATGGCTTCAAAATGGAGGAGGAGCAGTGTACACAACACAGACATGTCAGAGATAATGGCGAACGCCACAAACATGCGGCTTCCATGTTTTAATTGCGTTCACTGAGGAATAGTCATACAATACTATTCCTTCTAGGGTTTTCACTCGACTTAAAGCTACATATTATACTTGCCCTTTGACGAAGTTTTTTCCCTAAATCTATAACAGGTCTATAATCCTATTCACATGGAAACAAAAATACTTTGACTTAGCATTAAGTTAATTTACCATTAACTAGCTGACTTGGCAAACGCTGTTTAGCCATATAAAATATTTCTAGAGGTATCGGAACGCACGCATAAACACATAGTTGACAGGTACAGTTTGTATGGGAAAATAAAATAGTTGCTATTTCGATTTTCTATGCAATTTTTCGATAATTTCTCATCGTTTAAACCTTCCCTGGACTGACACAAACATTTCAAAACCAAAATTAGCCAAATCGGTCCAGTTTCTCGAGTTTTAGCGAGATTATCGAACAGCAAATCATTTTTATATATAAGAAGATTGTACTGATAAAAGGCCTCCGTAGTTATTCACATCCTAAGGTATTGCATTACTAGGGGGCAAATGTCCGTATGCTTAGATTTTTCGACATTCATCGACAGCATTAATTGTGTAAATACTCTGTGTTTTCGCTTTCTCAGCTATCCTATGTGCATTGTAAGGGTCTACTTGTCTGATAATGGAATAAATTCAAACTGAAATTCTATCGGCAATCTCCTATCAATGTCCAATAAATATAATTGAAATATCTATATTCTATCATATTCCTTGACGTTCGCAAAACAATTCACTTTGAGCCGTTTACCATTTTGCAAACGATGGGTTGTAAAAACAGAACGGTTACAAAAATATCGTCTCTCGAAAGTGTTCAGCACTTAACATATCTCTTGTAATCCTTGCCGCTTCTCTAGCCGAATTTAATATTTAAAAAAAAAATAAGCGGTTTTTCTGGATCATTCGATATATAAAACCCAATTAATTGTAATAATTCTAAAAGCTGAGTAGCAACAAAAATTATCTAACCTATATCCAGACAATTATTATCATGGCAATCACCACCAGATTTACTTATATATTTATCTTTTTTATTAATTTCATGTTTTATTTTATATATATATTTTCCCCGACTCGTCTAATAGGGCACGTAAACGTAGTGATTACATTCTCTTTGTAATAGGGTTCACTGAAAACCGGCGCTGTGGTTAACACCGCAACAGGAGCCGAATGAACACCCATTTAACATCACTCTGCATGTAGAAATGTATAATAATGATAGCCTATTATTTATAATTTCAATGTACTTAATTTCTTTTTCCTGGATGTCTTATTTTTTTACTTTCGATGATGTAAAATAATTT